TGCTTGTATTTCATGTAGCATAAGATTTTATCGCCGGATTTTCTGCTCTTCGTCGTCACTAGAGATTGATAGGAAAAGTTTTTTTTCTCTTCACAAGTACAACTGAAGCCACGATTACTTCGTAATCCTGTGAAATCGTTTAGCGAAAATCATGTTTAAGCGTGAAACAAACACACATTGCGCACACAAAAATTCAGAACCATCCGCCATTATTATGACGTAGTAGTTGCTATTTTTTCGGTAGTCCCTCTTGAGCTCTTATTTAACAGATTTATTTGCCTAAAACTTAAGTGAAGACATAACATGTGGCTGGAACAACTACAGTACACCCGTAACCATCGACCAAGCATTTGAGCCCCGATTTCGAAATGTTATGTGTATGTCTATTTGCTGACTCTATTCGTACTCCACTAACCAAAACTGTATTATCTAGATTTTAAAAATCTTCATCATTATTATTATCATCGCACACAATCTGTCGTTCAACGCCAATTCAAATTCAAACCGACTGACTGATTAAGGCTTCAACGCCATTTTCACATATAAACAATGCGCTGCAAAACAGCACACATTTACAAAATGTTTTCAACGATAATGGCGTCAATTGGCGCCCGTTTTTGTGTTATATGTGTTTGCATGAAAATCAAATGAGTTGCTCCCATTTCTATGCTATATCTCTATATTCATTCTTCTCTCATCGTTTTGTTTGTGCGCTAGCACAAAAAACATATCCCATGAAAACATAATATTTAGCTTATTAGCAGTTAGATAATTTGTCGTTTCCAAAACTTGCTAAAAAGGGTTGAAATGATAACACACGCGAACCGAACAAACGAAACTCATATACCCACAACCAGCCAAAAAACTTTTCGTTTCGCTTTGCTAATTATGTAAACGTACACATTGTCGCTTGCCTGAAATAATACCCATCCGTATCTGCTTGGTACATTGTGTGTATTGCTTTTTTCGGAGTAAATGATTCCGGCCACAGATTTTGTGCGTGAATACAATAAAATGTGCGGAAATTTAGATAATAATTTTTCCGGGTGAATAAATGCATGTATTGGATGAGTTTCAATTGGGTTGATGAAGAGAACGAGTGAAAACCAAGTTTTGTGAGTTTTATTCGAATTTAATTACTGTGGGCTTTTGAATTATCAACTTGTGCACAAAACTCTCTTTCTTTCTAACGCTTACCATTTTATTATCGCTTTTCATGAAAATTTATTGTTGATTTAAGCACGTCAACCCAACAAAATAAAATAAAGTGCCGTTTGCGTATTTTTCTCATTAGGCTTTTAATCCTTTTTTCCTCTTTCTCTTTTATTTTTCTACTTATATTTTTGTTGTTATTAATCATTACATTTATTTACTGAGCAAAAGATGATGCAAAAAAGCTTCAAGTCAATGTATACAGCCATTTTTTTGTGGATCGAGAACTTAAAACACTAGAAGAACACATTGCATAATATTTTTGGCCACCTTTTTGGGTCACAAGTGATCGAATAAGTTGTAGGATAGCAATTCTCAATAAATTGTATAAATATTCTGAAAATTACTTGAAAGTATAATATTATTTATGTTTCTTTTTCATGCAATTACGTCAAGAGGTCGTTTCAATGAGGATGTTAGCTTGCACTAATCGCATTGTAGCGATATTTGAAAAAAATTATGCGAAAAAATGCAATATATATTTTAATAGTATTCGATGAACATTAATCTGTGATTAACGCAAAACATCAAACAAAATGTGTGGCGGTGCGCAATACAACAAATGTTAAAAATAACATACTGGCTATCGCGTCACACACCGCAACGGAGCCATCAAAACCGATCCTGAAATATGATGTACGAAAAGCACAGAATATTTCTTTGATGTAATCGATACACATTTATTATATCTGTGGCAAAGTGATGGCGAGAGCGATATACTCACTCAACGTATATACTTAGCACACAATGTGCACTGCATACCAACATAACACAAAATATTAAATTATTTCATTATGGTCATTAATGTGTGAGCAAGACATGAGCATTGTACTGGCCGATGCCCATTTTGTTGATTCAATGCGAAGCGCTTGAATTTATTATGCATTTTGTACTTAAAGAAAAAAATGACGAGAACCGGAAAAGTAAATTCGCATCCATAAATGTGAACATGGTCGCAAAAATCGGCAATCGGACTCAACATCAATGGCGGCACCATTTCATTTCATTTTGCAAAACGTGTACGCCGATTTCTTTCCGATGGTTTTTTTCTGTATACTCTCAACAGTCGCACGCCTCATATTTATATGCTAATGATGGTGTGTTGACTAACGAAATTGCTCCACAAAATAACTAAGTATATGCGAAGAAAAAAACAACCCATACACATTTCAAGCCGAAAAAAAAACACTCTCGTCGGTCTCAACGTAGCATTAAATGGAATTATGTTATGCTTTACGAGAGCCAAGCAAGTATATTTTGGTTTTTTTTTCTTACCGAAGTAAAAGGTGCAACGTGCTATAATTCAAGAAGGAATTTTTTTTATCCTTGCCGCAAATAAAATATGTAACCGTTCATCTTTTTTTTTCTCAAATTGCTACGCATACACTGGAATATTTTTTTTAAAGTAAAAATTAAATTTAATTAAAACCTACGATTTTCAATAATAAATTGAATTTATTCAATTTATGAGATTTAATTTTAGTCAATGACTTGTAATTGAATGTTTCTACGCGTCTTTGTGTTATTTAATCGAATATTTTGTTTATACACTTTGGTTCGATAGTGCTCAGTTGTTAAGGAAAATATCTTAATTTTTCTTCAAATAAAAATTTGAAATAAAAATAAAATTACATAAAACATTATCGCGTTGTCTTGTTTTTCATATCATATTCTATGACTTGTAAATATAACATCATTGTCAACTTAACCGCGTACTCGTAAAGTGTATTACTCCAACAAAGTCATTCACTGACTTCAAATACTTTTGTTATTCTCCATTTATGCACCGAAGTAACTCAGATAAATCTTCAAGCTTTTATGCATATCGTCAAATAAACTTAAATCGTCATTCGGAATTCTTGTCTTTTTCCGCTCTAGTAGAAGTGGAGAGGTCCACAAAGAAGATAACCGTTGGGATAATGGTTGTCGATGGTTTTAGTGACCATCAGTCAATAAAAGCAGTACAATATTGCTATATAAACGCAACTATATAATATACATTTTAGCGATCCACCTTTTCAGCATGTCCGCTCCACCTTCTTGTCTTATCAATTTCTCTTGTTTCTTCTTCTCTTTTTTTGTTTTGTGATGCATGAAGTGTGGTTTTCTTTCGTTAAGCTACGCGTGCGTTTTCGCGGAATACGATTTTAAAGATGTGTACAATATGAAGTCGTTCATCACCCTTTACATTTAAATCCGGACAAGCATTCGCTCTTTTATTTGGCGATGTCGTCAACATTCGCCAAACATTTCATAGCTATAGACAACGAAATTGTATAGCAAGAATGGTGTAAATGGAAACTATGATGATGCTCACGTTTTGCTCTTTATCTTTTCTACAAAAATGGAAGCGAAACGAGTGTTTGGCTATTTACTCGACTCATTTGAGGGAAATATGGAGAAAGTTTGTTCGATGCACATACATACAATCCCGACAATCTCGACTGTATGTATCAAATCCGATTCGAATAAAAAAAAAAATAGCGAAAGGACCATCGAGAAAGAGAAAAAGGAAGAAAAAAAAACATTTAGCTTTTGTGGTGAAAAGCAATCGAAGCGAATTTATTCGGAAAATAGCTCATGTGTAAGACAGTTTGATTCAAATGGCACTGCTGCTATCATAACAGTGTTATGGCACTGCTGGAACATTTTATTAAATTGGATTTCTTTGCCAGAATTTCAATTCAACACCCAAAATGTCCGTCTCACTCTCTCTGTGTGTGTGGACGGGGTCTATCCTTTTGCCGAACGCAAATCGGAAAAGAAAATTGACAACAAGGAAGAAATAACGCTCCTGTTGATACATAATTCATTATTTCATTTACGAGTTTTAAAAAAAAGAATAATTTTACGTAGCGTTGCGACAAAGTTTCACACTTACTGCATCAACCTACGGTATACAATCTAAACCTTACCAGGCCCTGTTCATAAATAATACACAGGGAGAGTGAACGAATATATATATAAAAAAATAACAATACAAACGAGACCAAAACTATATCATGCAAATTGTTTGAGTTCGGCTTGTGAAAACAAATTTACTCGATATAATTGCTAAACGATTTCATGATTTGGTTGTTGTTCATGCCATCACACTCACTGGTTTATACATACAGTGAAAATTGTTCGCCGTTCGCGCTCCTCTCGAAAATCGATTTGTAAATGTGAACGAGAAGTGAAGAGTGTGAGAGCGGCGCTTTTCATACATGAAAGATTAAATTGTGTTTATTTTTCCGTCAACTCCGCCCATCACATTCAAAATCCTCTCCATCGGCCGTAACGCATCATGTTCGAAAATCCGAATACATCGCATGCGATTGACGCATTCGCAACACCGCACCACCAGCGCAACAAAATGATTCAGTTTCCAATGCAAAGTAAATAGAAAGCGATCAACCGTTCTCACACCACATACCGAATGTACTGTTGACAGCTTATGTACAATTGAATAGGAGGAGCCAATTCACAGTGCGTTAAAGAGAGAAATGTCGAGAGTAGACAAATGAAAAAACATAACACTCAAACTGGTTTCAATAACATATCAAATTGGCCACGGAACACAGCACAAATGCAACATTCAACGAAGTGCGATGCATGCACAACTACATTCATACACACATACATGCACACAATACAAGTTCGAGAAACATATGGGAAACATGAAAAAAGCAACTGTTACAACTGTGCGTGTGTATACAATATAAACACACCGATACAGACACCGTAGATAGAGAGAAGCGAAAACATACTGAAGAACCGAGACCTTCATCGCTCACTCAACACACGATTTTGATTTAGTTTGGTGTGAATTGTTCCGTAGTATGGTACTGCGCTCAAACGTTTGTTCGTTCGCCCGTTTATCTCGTTTCTTTTTTTTGAAAAGACAACATTAATTTATTTTCTTCGCTGCATCGCAAAGATTTTTCTTTAAAGGAATGAAGGATATCTCGTGATACACAAAAAGAATATCATGCCAACATAAAGTACAACATATTTCCTGAATTTATATTTAAAAAAAAAAGTATAAATTTATAAGACTCATTTAACGGTTCGGTTCGGTATTGAATTTAATTTGAGGCAAATGTGATATTTGAATTAAAAAAAAAAAACTGTAATAAGTGAATTCATGAACAAAATTGGAAAAAAACGATTTTTCTGTAAACAAAATAAACCAATATCTTTAAATCGAAAAGAGATTGGTTATTTAAGTGCAAAAGCCAATTAGAAATAGTGTAAAGTTAATTTTTTTCGTGGAAAATATTTTTATCAAAAATAGCGTTAAAAACTAAAAGAAAAATGTTGCCAGAGACACAGTGCAACGAAGCGTTGGTGGTGAAAGGAGCCACGGATTTTTCAATCGCTGCTATCATGGGCAGACAGTCGGTCTGCATGGATTCACCGGATAAAAGCTCAAGTAAGTTGGTAAGTAATATTGTTACAATATTACTGCCACCCCGTATCTTCTTTCTTGTTAGTTTTTTTATTCATTTTTCATCATTAAATAAATTTATAGTGTCTAAATCAATTTTGACGATGAAATTATTTTGAATAAGTTACTTTGCTGTTGAACCACTCGATCCGACGGCATCGCTAAAATACTGTAATTTTGCGCACGCAACATTTCAATCCATCAAGCGGTGCATGTGTTGTTTTTTTTTTCTTGATAGTGTATAGTTGCGACGGTATTTCACTTTTCTCTCCTATGAAATTGGCGGCGATAAAAGAAACACACACAAATTAAATTGAACACCTTTCCATTTGATTTAAAATTGGTTTCTTTTCAACAACAGTAAAAATAATTCGACGAAAAATGATTAAGATACCAATATAAATGATTTGGTTAAAACTATTTGAGACGAAACCATCACCACAGAAATATACCTTCGTGTCATTTGAATGGTGTCGTTTTTAACACCGTTCATAGGAAATACAATTAAATGAAATCATTATCTCTATTTTACATCATTAATGTTTCTTTTTCTACTACTGCTTTTCTGAGTCTCTGCAAGATCTTATTATAAAAAATGGTTAAGTGTCCAGCAATTAGCTATACTGCATGAAATTGTATGCTATATATATCGATCGACAGAGAAATGGCTCAAGTGTGTAGGTTCAAGCGGTTGAAAAATTAATCGAACTAAATGAACGAATTGAAGATCAATTAAGTCATTAGAAACGACATATTAAACAGGTGCTGATTTTTCATATATGAACAAATTATGACTACCAGGCAGCAATTACAATGATTATTTCACAAGATTCGAAGTCTCATTTCAAATCAGCGTCACTAATTTCAAAATCAATTGCATTTGGAAAACGCAATTCGTTGACTCCAATTTGGGCAAGTGAAAAACATCATTAGAACACATTCGAATCGATTCGATACACACAATTATCTTGGAATCATTCGTGGGAAAATGTTTAGGAATTGATTTTCTTGAAGAAAATTGACAAACATTTTTGGTTACAGAACGGAATGTAAAATAGAGGGAAGAAGAACCGAACCAAATTGAACGAGTTTTAAAGTGTTTCAAAATGCTATTCAATTTTGTAAAGACAAAAAAGGAAAATACGAATGGAATGAGAAAAAATGCCAATAGAAATATTGACAGGTCGTCGATGAACATGTATGATATAATGCGCAACGATTACTGCAAGTCAAATGCAAATGATTAATGATTAAAAACGTCTTAAACCTCTCATTCACACCTTCATTCCTTCTATTTCTTCATTGGAGTTTGACAAAGCGCCAAATCGATTGACACAATAAATAGATTTACTTCAATTGTGTGCATACAATACATCTTTGGTTGAATACATCACAAAAAACGCCAAACGATCAATATTTTTATCTTTCTTTTCAAAACGGATAAACTTTTTCTTGTAAAAATAAATTTCAAAAAAAAAAAACAGATAAATAATTAAATAATTAATAATCGACTAAAATTGACACGCGAACCACTGTTTTGATCACTTTTGGTGGAAATATTTTGTCTCGTTGAAATTTCGTTCGTCATTTTATCTTTTGTCTCGCGCAGCACACGTATATGTTCGCATTCAAAGACTTGAGTCAAACCATTTATATTTTAAATATGGAAATATATAATCTGTTTCGAATAGCACGCCGAGATTCAAGTGTCTTATTATTATTATTGTTGTTATTATCTCTCTTTTTCTTGCTCTGTTCCGTTTATTTTCTGCGGGTTACTAATCAGTCGCAGCAGTTTGCATTTCTTGTTTTGTTCATATTCACACTTTATTTTCTGTGTGCGAATAAGAGAAGAAAAAAAAAATTCCCTCTGTTTGCTGTCATTTTATTTCATTTCATAATAAAAATCACATAAATCTGAAATTAATAATTTGTGGAATTATTAATTTATTCTTTCAGTTCGTAATTTTTTTTTTTACTTCGTTTAAATAGCCAGCCATTTTTGAAATGTTGTTCGCTTACTTCGTTAAAATTTATCGCTTCGTTCGAATCTCATTTATATTTTTATCACTTTGAGATTTTCGGATTAATTTTTGCAAAGAAACAAACACCAAATTTAAATAAATTGTTAATAAATTTTGTGTCGTTTGAATCACAACCAACTGCTTTTGGTATTCATTTTTTGTGATGATATTTTGCTTGTTTCAAAGCGTGATGACACTAATCGAATGCGAAACTTTTATTGGAATTACATTTTTGAGGTTTCGCGCATATGGTCTAAATCATTTTTTTGGCGCAACCCGTTTGTAACACCTTGACAAAAAGGAGCAAAAAAAAGCGAGCGGATAAACGATTGAACCAGACGTACATAATCATCATTTGTTGATTGGTCAGCGAACGAGGGTGATGAATAATTCTATTCATTAAATCGTTAGAAAATTAAATAATCACGTTTGATGATTGAATCAATATCAAATCGTGATTTTAAAAAAAAGACACAACCCAATGAAAATGTTAACATACTAACGGATTTATTTCATGCCGTTGTTATTTTTCAGCGTATTTCGTATAATTGATTGTGTTCGAATATTTGCTGTGTGTTTGCGTATGATAGGCCTTGATCCAATAAGAACGCGTAAATTACAGTATTCTTTCTTCTTCTTAGCCAATGCACAAATATTTGGCACATACACACACATGAATATTCGAAAAGTGCAACCGTACAATCCTACTAAATTGATGATAAGTTGCCAACAAATCGCGTTCGACAATTAAATTCAAATTGAGTGAGAAAATTCGCATATAAACTTGGTTGTTGTTGTTGTTTTTTTTTTTTTTTTTTTCTATTTACTAAACAAACGCTATAATTAAACCGATAGATTTGATTATGCTAATTTCAGTGCAGTTGGCTGCATTTCAAAGATTTTATCTTTTTTTCTAACGGTGTTTGATTTGATTTTGTATGGTACATAGGTCCATTGTCAATTGGCGGTGGTTACCAAGATGATGTGGATGATGTCGAGGAGGATGATGATGATGCCATAATCGATGTTGAAGATTATAAAATTCCGCCGATCACAGTTAACACGACCATTTCATCAACACAAACCTCTAGCAGCAGCTTATCACAATCGGCGCATAACAACAACAACAATAACAACGGAAATGGATCATCAACATTGACAAAGAACCGCATTGGACGACCCACAAAATCATCACTATCTTCACCAGTATCGTCAACAGCCAGCGATGATGAACGTCTATCTCCCGATTCAGTTAAGGTGAGTGAGAAAAAATGATTATCACTTTACACGTATATCATTTCGTTCGTTTCTTCTTTTGCCGATTGTGCCGTCGGCTTGTTATGCTTTCAATTTTCCATTCAAAATGATCATGCTTATGGCATATAATTACGGGTGTAAAAAGTCGGACTTTCGCTTTGTTTATGTGAGTGTGTGTGTGTGTGTGTGTGTGACAATTGAAGAAAAATCACTTCTGGTTCTTCTTTTTCCTTGGTTTTCATAAAACGTGTTGCAGTGTTTGTAATTTTTTTTTCGATATGTTTTGCTCATCTTCTTACTGTGTTGTCTTAATCATCAAAACCAAAGCCTTAACCGAATATGAAATTTATTCTCTTCTTAACCATATCATTCAGTAATAAATTATATCTCTCTCCATACTCATGAATCGATCTGTTTTTTTTTTCTGTTCATTCTTTTTCTCGATGTGCGGCTGTGTGTCTCTTTTCATCTCCAACAACAGACACGCCCAACACTTTTAGGCTCTTGTAACTGTGATGAATTGAAACCAATCCAGTGTCATTTGGAAACAAAAGATTTATGGGAAAAATTTCATGAATTGGGCACCGAAATGATCATCACAAAAACCGGAAGGTATGTATCCATTTAACTATAAATAGTTTTTAACTCAATTTTTTCTTCAACTCAATTTCATTTCGATAATATGTTGTTTTATTTTAATTCGAAGTTCAGTATTATATATTTTTATTGTTACAAATTCAGTTGGAATTAATCGATTTGATTTCGAATTGAAAATTACCGTGGTTTTTATTGATTTTAATAAATTACCTAATTGGCGAATCAATTAATGCGATCGGCGTTAATGTGCGTGTGCGTTTGTTATACATACTCAAAAAGAAAGATAGAGAGAGTGAAAACGCATGCATATGTTGTGATTTGTATGCGAGCGATTTGAAATAGGCGGACGAGAGAGTGTGTAATCAGTGAAAATAATTATTATAATCATGATATCATAATAAAATTCAATTTCTCGTTTTGAGCGCAACTCAACTCGAATACGCTTTGGTCGTACACACACAAAAAAACGTAAAAACCCATTCAAATTATAGTGCATACAAATTGATACTAAAAGTCTATAATTTTTCGCCAAGTATTCGCCATCGCGCAAATGTATGCAAATTTCAGGCGAAAATATATGCAACAAATTGTTGCCGTCGCCACCGCTGTGGCTGCTGCTGTTGTTGTTCCAAAACGATCCACGTTATGCGTATCTCACTCCTTCACACATTCGTGCCAAACAACAAACGATTCGATTTTATTCAGTTCGAAATTGGTTTATATAGAGGCGTTAAAATTAATCGACAATTTAAATTGTTCAACTGATATTATTACAATTTGGTGGTTTTGTTGCACAGCAATTTTAAAGTTTATGTATACGTATATTTTGTATATATACATCGGCAAGAGAACAAGCAGAATGAACAAAAAAAACGGTTGAAATTGAATGCGGCGATAAATGGAATTGGTACTATAAACGACAGTTCAACAAATTATCCTAATGTTCGCACTGCAGTCGATGCAATTTTCCAAAACTGAATCGGATAATGAAAAACCGCCAAACGCCAGTTATGAATACACAAAAATATTATGAAATTTAACCCGAACCGCTTAATTGTATGCGATTCATTTACAACAGCGACAACGTATGTTTAAAAAAACAAAAAATTTGGTGATTCACAGGAGTCAATTTGTATTGTCGTTATTAATATCGCACGCCGAATTTTAATTATTGGCATCATTATGACCTAGGCCATTTTCATAACCATTTCGATTTTATTTTCCATTCGGATTGCCCACTGAAATCGTTTCGCCACTTTTCCATTACACCCGATTTATCTCATTTATCGGCGTTTATTTCAAGCGCGCAGCAGCATTGACGGCGGCAGCAGTGAAAGAAATAATCGAAACGCGTTCTTTAAATGTCGAAAAAAGCCAGCGGGTTACAATCTTAATTGCATCGATTGTTCGATGATTTTGATGGGATCGCAGTGCAGCGATTTGGATGCTGAAAAACATTAGTCGAAATTATAGTTGCACTATGCCCGCAAAATATATTAGTGCATTTCGCCGGTAATATAATTTCGCGTTTGTTGTTTTTCCTTTGGTACGCCTGTTTTTTTTTTTTCGATGCATAAAATCAATTGGCATTTAGCTGCAAGAGATTTTTTTTTTGTGTACTTCCTACGCATTTACATATTTTTCCGTTCGACTTTGTCTCTTAAAATGTGCACCAAAAAGAAAACGGTTTATGTTTTAACAAAAGTCAAATCAATAAAATGTTTAAAGCTTAATTAAAAATATGACGGAGTTAGTAGATTTATTGTTGACGTCAAATGGCCCGTTGAACTTGATTTAAAATCATACATTCGTAAGAATTCATTAAAAGTACATCTTCCTTTCTCGTTTGGCTTCAAATGCCGACGTAAATCATATGAGTCATTTTTTTCTACGGAAATTTGGTGAAAACACATGTTCATTTCGAAACTTGGTGCAATTTATTTGTTAATCGACAGTTTTGCTTCGACAATTTACTTGAATAAATGAAACAATGTTTCACAGTTAAGATAGAAAGAAGAAAACATTAAACACATCCTTCGCTTAATCTGCAGGTATGCTCATTGGCTTCTGTGTGCCAACATGCTGATATGAAATTACTTCATGGCCAAGAAATTCATTTACGCACACAAGAAACAATGTTTTTTTAAGTGCATGGCTAATTGCACAAGTGCGCTTAAATGTTGAGAACAGAAATCCGACGCTGCATTTTATGAATTTTTGCGAAAAAACGTGTGCGATGCGCTCGATGTCTGTGTCATTGAAGCAACAACGTCCGTGTATTGTATTCATTTTGACAACGATAAAATGTAGCAAAATATTCAACGAAGCATGTCGAATAACCCCGCTCTGAAATGCATCGACTGTTCAATACGAATGATATGTGTACATTACGTATTGAGAGTGCATCAATGTTCTATAGTTGCAACAGAGTGATAGTTTTGCATTTCATTGAACTTGTGTGCATTCTGTTTGGTGCATACGCTACCGTCGCACATTGTCATGTTGTCATGTTGAGTACTTCAGTGTCTCTATTGAAGTTTTATTGCGATCATAAATGGCCATAATACGATGCAAGTGCATTTTCATCTTCGAACTTGTACATTTTAACATCGGTTTTATTGTGCACAATACAATTTCTATGGCTTTATCACTTTGATGGAGAAAAAGACCTTGTTGAACACAGAAAATTTACCTTAGCATCGTTTCAAATGATGAAATTGTAAGAGATCGAGAGAGAAAGAGAAACGCTCGTGTTACCATTTGAAGAGCCATCCAACAGCGCTAATAAAAACGTTTTTCGATAAGCGCAGTCATTAAGAATTGACGAGAAGTCGTTTGAAGAGTGAAGATGAGAAAACAACAGAATAAAAAACCATATGTGCCAATAAACATCTTCATCGGACGAAATTCGGTTGAACTTTTTTCCTAATGACTTTGTTGTTGTGGTTTTTTTTCTCTCTCTCTCTTCGTTCCTTTAAAATGTGAAACAATTTATATTTTTGTGGCGTTACAAACCAAAAAAAGCGCGTGCACCACTTGATATCATAATAAAATGAGCATTCGCAACAGACAAACAGAGCCATGAATTCGAAATTACCTTCTGAACCAAACGTTCACAAGTTCACTTGAACAGCATTTCCACCATAAAAAAACCTCTTTTTTTACCATACACACATACAAAAATATGTAATAAAAACCGCAATTAATACAGAGCCGATGTGTTTTGTAAGCAATAGAAAATGCCCAATAAAATGTAATAATCGAATTTATACGAATCGCGGTTCTACACAGCACCACCCGGCCAACACACGCATTTACCAATCATACAAGCAAATGGCTTTATTATCATGAATAATTTCTTTTTCGGTGAATGAACGCACCATCGCACAAATCTATTTCAAACTTCAATGGTCATAAAACAATCTCAAGTACTTTATGAATTAACTATTTTTAATCGAGCTGTAACCTCAATTTAACATTGAAAAAAAAAAAATCAATTTTTTCGTGTAAATCATGAAAAATATCTGTTTTGGAAAAAATGTGTATGTGTTATTTATTATCAAGAGTTGAACGTCAAGTGTTTTTTTCTTTGCCTAAAAGCAAAACTCTGATTAACAAATTTCGTGCTGTAAAAATAGGAGCCGATTTTTTTCTCTCTCTCTCCATTACACACATCCTTTGAATGATAGTAGCAACCTAAATTATGACATCAACGTTCGAAAATAACGGACAAACCGAATTACGAATGAAGGAGAAAACGAAAAAAAGACGTTGATATGTGTCCACTTTTGATTGTTTTATAACGGTGTCGATTGATTGTGAGCATCAATGAAATGTTCTTTCAAATTGACATAATTTTCGGTGGTCTTGTTGCTCAAAAACATAACAATTGTAAACATATTGTGCATTATAAAAGTGTTTTCGTCTCGTTGCTTTATTCAGGTGTTTCCGAATCGAGTGTGTGTGTGACAGATGTTTTGGTGTATATTGCGCCTCTTCAATTTGTAATTTTCTTAATCGTTTGACCACAACCAAAAACGTTTGCCCTTCTTGCTCGACTCTACTTCGAGACATTTTTTTAAGGAAAAAAACAGAAAATCTCTTTGAGCAATGGTCAAAATTAAACTGAAACACGCCAACCACATAAAACATTCCAACTGATCGTCTTACAATTTGTTCTGTATTCCGTGCCATGTCATTCCATTAATTCTCATCGTATCCTCACGAACTTGAAGGTTATTCTCTCCTTTTTTTGAATTCATTTGACTGCCCTTTTTATAAATGTAAATTTATTGAACGTTTTCTTCTCTTTTCTTTATTCTGTCGAAATACAATGTAAAATTCAAAAAATGTTCTTTGTTTTGCTATTCTTACATGCAATGAAGTAGAATACACCCGATTCGAAAAAGAAATATTACGCGATTAAAAACATATGATATTTCATTTATGAAATTATACAACAATTCAAATTTCATTCAATTGAGCCAATTCATTCACAGCAACTGAATGGACACTTCTTCTTTTTGTCTGTGCTTTGTTAACAATGTTCCCATTCTCCCAAAAAAACCAACAACTTCAAGGTGAAAAATAAAATAAAAAACATTCATAACTTGCTTCCTTAATTTCAACGAATGTGTATGCCAGTCTTACACAAATTTATGAAAGATCCAAACGCAAAGCAAAAGCCCACATTATTCTATTATTTACTTCATTAAACTGAGAATTTTTAATTACAACAGAATACAACTGTTCAGCGATAAGAAAAACAAATGAACAAATAATTTTCGATTAAAATGCATTCATACAATTTGTTTGGTTGCTGGAAATTTCTTTTATTCGAAATTGCATTTAACAGATCTTTCATTTGGTATGTTAATCATTTTGTAGTTCATAAATTCTTTTGGTTATTTTTGTTGTGTTGAAGTACTTATAGCTACTAGATCTTACATGTGAATCATTTATTTATAATTTAAATTGACAAAAAAAACCATTTCTTCACATAGAGAAATGTGTGT